GCAGTCAAGTGCCTTAGGCAGTATGCTACCAGAGGTCCTCAGTGCTGAGTATCAAATGGTAATGTATAAAGAACCCATCGCATACAAATTCTCAGTGGATGTTGTTGTCTGACTTCAGAGACCATGAGTCTTCTCCTCCCAGCCAGATATTTAAAGAGGGGCATGGTGAAGGATATCATAATATGACAGGTCATTATTGGAAACTGAGTATTGTGAATATTCTGGCTAGGGAAAGGTCAGTGCAGTTTTGCAGTGGTAGGAGCTGCCAGGCTCAGTCTGTGTGGTTTTTAGACTGTGTTCAGGAAGTTTGGGCAGGATCCTGGGTGCTCAAAGGAGGCTCTTTTTGGATGGTGTGGCCCCATCTCAGTCCTGGAAAGTTCTGCTGGGGAGAAGAAGAGCTGCTCCAGGAAGTGGTTCAATGTCAGGAACAGATCTACATTCCCAGATGGGGAACTAATCAGAATTAGTTCTGGGCTTCTACACCAAATCCATTATTGTTCAGCTGGTTTTTCTCAAGATTGGAGAGAGAGAATTGGATTTCTTCAGACTCCCTTTATTCTCTTCCAGTTCATGTGGATATGGAATGGGTATGATTTGAGTGGTAGAAGTTTGAAAGAAGGAATGGAAGAGACAAAAGCTTACATTAATGTAAGTCATTTTGAGAGCTTACAGCACATGGGTTGCCATGAGTCAGAATCAATTTAACAGCAACTAACAACAACAGCAAGGCACATCTGGTTTTGTGATTTCTTTTTCTCTTCCAGCTCTGGCTTCTCTGGACTCTGCAGTTCTCCAACAGAGAAATCTTGAAACGGATAGACCAATACCAATAGTTATAAAACCATGGCTCATGTAAGTTTATGTCTCTCTTTTTTGAAATAATATCAATTTCTAGGTTATGTATATATATTTATTCCTTATCCTGAAACTTGCTACTTAGCAGAGCTCCATTTAAGAGTCTTCTCCCTAGTTCCTCTCATTCCTATGAGAATTAGAACCAAATAGCCTAATGTCCCTGCTATGAGCCCTTTCCTTCCTCAACTAATGTTCAGCATCTCCTAGCAAATCTTTTGCTGAGAGGAGTGATGGAGCAAAAATAAAATACACTGTGAAAAATGTAGGTATTCCCAGAACAATGTCTTTTCTGCTAATATTTTCCAATGGAACACCTTTTAATTTTAATAACTTCAGAGAAAGTATATTTCTCCTAGTATATTGTTATTTGGTCTAGTCTTATATCTGAAAAGTTTACATCTCTAATACACAATGTGACACTTTGAACTTTTTATTGAAGTACAACATACATACAGAAAGTATACAAGTCTAAGAGTACAGTTGAATAAATTTTCATAAATTGAATACATCTATTCTTCCTCAGAAGGAAGGTTGGGCAATCCTCTTCCGTAGTGATACTGCCTCGGAAACCCAAGGAGGGGTCACTATGAGTCGGGTTTGACTCAACGGCACATAACAACAACATTCTTCCATTCAGGTCAAGAAAGAATATTACTAGCACCTCAGATGCCCTTCTTCAATCACTCCCTACCCACCACCTACCCATCAAGCCCAAATATAATGACTATCCTGACTTTAAACACCATAGTTTATTTTGCCTATTTTTAGAACTTTCTATAACTGGAATACAACTTTTTTTTTAAATTGTGATTTGAGTGAGAATTTACAGAGTAAATTCACTTTCCATGCAGCAGTTCACATACACTTTGCCTCATGACAATTTACCACAGTGCAACAGCTCCCCTCCCACATCCCACCTCTTTCCTGTGTCCATCCCTCCATGCACTCCTGCCCCCTGAGCTGTCTCCCTCTGCATAAACAGCCTTTCTTCCATGATTGTTCTCTCCAAGGAGTGTATCTACTTAGGGTAAATGTTCAACTCGTATGCCTGTCTTTTGTTTGGCAGGAAGCCACAGGTGTGGGTTCAATTCCAGACTTGAAGGGCAGCTAGGGGCTATAGTCTCAGTGGTTCCACCAAGCTCTATCAGACCAGCAAACCTGGTCCATTTTTTTGTTTTTTTTTCCCCAAGTTATTTTGAGTTTTGTTCCACATTGTTCTCCCTCTATCCAGGATCCTATACGTAGATCTCCTCCAAGTGATTGACAGTGGTAGCCCGGCACCATCTAGTTCTTCTGGTCTCATAGTCATATAGGCTGTGGATCGCATGGTGTATCAGTCGCTAAGACTAATTGTTTCCATGAATCTTTTGGTTTTCTTCATTCTTCTTTGCTCTGGATGAGGAGAGACCCATCATTGCATATAGATGGCAGCTTGCAAGCTTTTATGATCCCAGTCGCTACTCACCAAAGTAGGAGGTGAAACAATGTTTTGTGTAGTATGTTATGCCAATTGAGCTTGATGTCCCCTGTGACTATGGTCCCGAGGCCACAGGTTCAACTACTTGGTCCCTCTGGGTAGCTGGCTGTGACCAAGAAGTGACTACAACGTTGCCCCTTGTCAGCTCTACTATATACCTGGGAATTCATATCATACAAATACACTTATAGGACCATTGTCTGCCAACCTATACATTGTCTTGGGTACTCTACTCGCTACATAGACATATCTAATAGTTCAGCCTGTCTACCCATCTATCCACCCGTATACCTATGTTTGCCTTCAGTGAAAGTGCAGTACTATATGTGCAAAAGGGTTCCATCTTTGTTGGAATACAACATTTTTTAAACAAAATAAAAAATACTGGAAGTAACATCATATTCCAAATAAAATTGCTAGACCATCAGAATCATCTTCAGATGTTTTGAAATATGTAGTAGGTGCTGCTGGTGATAAAGGAGGCATCAGAACATTATCATACTGAGTGTAAGCCATTTTTGCCCTGATGTTCTTATTTGACATGCATTTCTATATATTTAGCTCTTATTTTTGTTTAGCATTCAGTGAGTTCCTAAAATACTCAAAAAATATGGAAGAAACTTGTGTAGAAAGAAATAAAGCAAATAAGGAAACTTATTTCAGTAGAAAAGAGCATGAAAAACATGAAGCTGTAACCCCTGTGTGTACTATACTTCTCTCCTGGGGGAAAGAAAGTTGTGAAGTTGATGGAGGGTTGTGCTTGACATATAATATGTTATGTTTTCTTTTATAATTTTTTAAAATTGTGCTTTGTGTGCAGATTTACAAAGTAGATTTGTTTTACATTCAACAGTTCATGCACATTTGATTTTATGGCCCGATTACAATCCCCAACCATAATAAACTCTCTTACCCTCTCCTCCCTATGACTACCCCCTCCCTGTGCCCTTCTCATCTGTGCATTCCTGTCTGTCCAGCTTTCCCTCAGTGTGAATGCTGCCCTTCTGATGTCTCATGGTTGATTGATCTAAGGGGTACATCTCCCTGAGGCAGGTGTTCTGCATGCATGCTCTGAAGGTTCTGCATGTACTGTTGGGGTGAGAGCCAATCCATGGAAGTGAATCCATTGCTAGGCCCAAAGGACAACCTGGGGCCACAGTCTCAGGGATTCTACCAATCTCTATCTGACCAGTAATTCTGGTCATGTTCGTATTTTTGAATTTTGTTCCATATTTTCCCTCCCACTCTAACCAGGATCTCTAATTTTTGTCCCTTTCTGAGTGGTTGCATTGTATTTTTCTGATTTAAAATGATAGAGAAATAGATACCTATCCTTAAGATAGTGCTAGAATATCTGATTTTCAGGAATGGATTACTGATACTTAGTGAGAAGTTTCTATTTTGAGGTTTCTTTGATGAGCTGTAGCTTGATAAAAGAGAGAATTTGCTCCTGTTTGACTAATAGCGAACCCTTTAAACCTCTCCACGGACCTGAGTTTTATAAGTAGATAATATAGGATTTAGTGTTGACTGGTCTTAGTCTCTATGTGTGTTAAGATCATATGCTTTTTGGACTAGATAGGGATGTGATGAGGAATGCAAATAAAGAGATCAAGGATCATCTCTGGAAAACCCTGAGAGAAACACGATCTATTGAGAGTTTTATAGAATGTGTTGGTCTAGAGTAGGGTTTCTCAACCTTGGCAATATTGACATTTTGGACCAGATAGTGATTTATTGTGGGAGCTGTCCTATGCATTATAAGATGTTTAGCAGCATTCCTGGCCTCTGCATATTAGATACTAAGTAGCATTTCCCTCCACTTGTGAGAACCAAATTGTCTGTGAACCAAACCCGCTAAGTTGATTCCAACTTACAGCAACCCTATAGGACAGAGTAGAACTGCCCCATAGGGTGTCCAAGGCTGCAACTCTGTAAGGCTATAGATTACTTTATCTCTATCTCACGGAGCAGCTGGTGGGTTTGAACCACTGACCTTTTGGTTAGCAGTCAAATGCTTTAACCACTGTGCCACCAGAGCCAAATGTCACTGGGGGAGCAAAATCACTTTTCATTAAAAACCACTGGTTTATGATGGCATGTTCATGGTATCTTCACAGTTTACTATCCTCTAACTTAAGGATAAGGAAGGATGTTCAGTGGGGGATGATGGATGATAAAGGATAAAATCATCCAGATGCATAAGTGTCAGATGATTGTAGTCTTTGAGAGTTGGGGAAGAGTTTTTAGATTGTACTGAATTAAGACATCTAAACATTAAAAAGATTGAATCTAATATACTTAAAATGTGAACTACTATGTAGTAAATTTTTTTTTAAGTTTATAAAAGAATTGCTTATAACAGGGAAAATGTTTATAATAAAATCTGACTTTGTGACATGGTCAATTTGAGTCTTAAAAAAGTGCTTTAATTTTATGCAAGTGTTATTTTGTTAGAGATTTTGTATTACATTCACAATAAATTTTTATCAGTTTATTTTTATGATCATTAAATGGAAAAGAGGGCAGAAGACGTCATACTTCTTAAGAATTTATATTGAAGGCACATAGCTTGTGTATGCTGTTTGATTTAATTGGGATTCTCTGTTTATTTAGATCATTTCCAGATATGTTTAGATAATTAATGTGTTCTACACAGTGAAAGAATTTAATCTGCAGCCATAGGACTCTTCAAGACATGTTAGGCACTCTGCTTAAACCATACTAGTTTTCTTACTGTCCTATATCTGTCATAACTTTTCAGTCCTTGCCTATTTGCTTGCGATGTGCCCCCTCTTGCAATGTAGTTCTCAATCTTTTCTCTTTCCACTTTAAGAATGCTTAATTTATTTTTACCAGTAATACACAAGTTTATGTTTTTCAGGTTTCAGTGACTTTCAGGGATGTAGCCATAGACTTCTCGCAGGAAGAGTGGGAATGCCTGGACCCTGCTCAGAGGGACTTGTATAGGGATGTGATGTGGGAGAACTATAGCAACTTTGTCTCACTAGGTAAAGTTATTTATCACAAATGATACTGGCTCTCTCTACTATGAATTCAGGACTCAGAAACTAGCTAAATTTTTGCTACCTGTTATCAAGTGAATTGTTTAAGCTTTGTTAGGTTTGAAATGGACCCCTCTATAGAGCTCTGGTAGCATAGTGCCTAAGGCACTTGACTGCTAACCAGAAGGCTGGTGGTTCAAACCCACCAGTCACTCCTTAGAAGGAAGATGGGGCAATCTACTTCCGTAATGATACTGCCTTGGAAACCCAAGGAGGGGTCGCTATGAGTCAGTCCGACTCGACGGCCAACAACATTTAATACCTTATCTTTCTCATCCTGCTCTACCCTTTAGATTTGGGGAAACGAGAGTTTCTTTCTGTAATTTCCTCTTTTTCTTCAGTATCCAAGGAGCTGGATTTGAATTCTGGGTTTAGTACAGGAGAAGCATTGTTCAAGAAACCAGAGTTCACATTGTGGTAATTGAGTTCAACTCTATTTTCTAATCTACCTGCAAGAAGAATCTGAGCTGGACGTAGGAGATCTGAGTTTCTCTAACAACCAAAGGAACCTGTGCAGTTTATGTAGTGTGGTTTGGATTCACAGAATTTATGTAACATTCTATTTCCTATAATAGACAAATTCAGTTCTACCTACTTTGTGAGTCAAAGTTGAAAATCTAACTTCTTTAACATTGAATGAATATCCTAGAAAGGATCTGTGAATGTCCCAGGAAACCTCTTGTTCTCACAGCAAAATAAAAACCAATAGCTAACACACACATATTATATGTATATATACTGTATATACTTGTGCTCATGCACTGTTCTGATGTTTTACATTATTTATTGATCCTTGCAATAATTCTATAGAAAGATACTATTACCTTTCCTACTTCAGATGAGAATATTATGAGTTAATATTTGCTGAGGTGACATAGGCAAGGGGAAAATTTCTTAACTGTCTGCTCTCTTTATTTTTTGTGGTTCCAAGGTTACCTTAATATGACTGTTCTTCAGTATTTTTGCCTTTCTGTGTTCTTAGACTTTACAGAGTACCATTTTGAGTTTTAAGTAATTATAAATTTATATGTCTGAATCTAAGGACTTCTGGGCTTATAATTTCATGTCATATTTTTCTTTTAAATAGGACCTTCCATTTCTAAGCCAGATGTGATTACCTTACTGGATGAAGGGAAGGAACCCTGGATGGTTATGAGGGAAGGGGCAAGAAAACACTGCACTGGTGAGTGAGGACTGAGTAGGTTTGGGGAAGTCATTACACAGGTAACAGCCCAGATTGTTAGGGTGCACGTCCTTGAGAAATTAAGAGAACTCTTTTCAAAGGCTCATCACCTGTGAGGGAAAAACTTGAGATCTGGAAAGCAATAAAGATCTTTTAAGCCAAGACTACCAAAGAAATTTCCTTTTGACCTCAATTTACAACTCTCATTGCTCTTATTTCTCTCTGCCTTCAAAGAGAGTAGCTGTTCTCAGAAGAAAAAAAATGATAGTCAAATATAAGAGCAGAAATCAACAAAATAGAAATAAACAGAAAATTATCAAAGCCAAAAGTTATTATTATTATTAAATATGAGCAAAAATTGATAAACACCCATCTTCACTAATCAAGAAAAAAGAGAAACATCATAAATCACTGATACTAGGAATGAAAGAGAGGCTTTCACTTCATATCCTATAGCCATAAAAAGGCTAAAAAAAGAGAATACCATGAACAGCTTTATGCCAGTAAATTTGAAATTTAAATAAAATGGAAAGATTCCTTGAAAAATAAAACTTACCACAACTGACACAGGATAAAAAAAGAAAATACAGCATAGTGCCTTAGGCACTTGACTGCTAACCGGAAGGCTGGTGGTTCAAACCCACCAGCCATTCCTTGGAAGGAAGGTTTGACAATCTACTTCCGTAGTGATATCGCTTTGGAAACCCAAGGAGGGGTCACTATGAGTCAGGTCTGACTCCAAGGCAAATAACAGCAACAACAACATATCTATTAAAGTAATTAAATTCATTATCAAAAGCCTTCTCACAGAGAAAATGCCAAGCCTGGATAGTTTCACTGGTGAATTCTATTAAATGTTTTTAGAAGAAATAGCAGCAAAATTACACAGATTCCTTCAGAAGAGGATGGACATATCCCAATTCATTTTATGAGGCCAGTATAACTTTTTTTTTTTTTTTAATTTTTATTGTGACTTGGATGAAAGTTTACAAAGCGAATTCACTTTCTATACAGCAGCTCACATACACTTTGTCTCATGACATTGACTACAATTTTCCACAATGCAACAGCTTCCCTGCCACTTCCTCCCCATAGTTACCACTTCTCTGTGTCCTTTCCTCCCATGTACTCCTGCTTCCCGAGCTGTCTCCCTGTGCATACACAGCCCTTCTGTTCTGCCACGATTGATCTCTCCAAGAAGTGTATCTACCTAATGAAAATGTTCAGCTCATACACCTGTCTTTTATTTGGCTGGAAGCCACAGGAGTGGGTTCAATTCCAGACCTAAAGGGCAACTGGG